TATTAGCTGAATCCTAATCCTCCATGATGTGCTTCTCAGCCACACCACTCAAAGAAATTCCAGCATGCTTGTCACCTGAACACTTCTTAGATTTGGCTTCATTTTGCACAGGTAAAGCCATGATTTGAGCCTCTTTTTCCCTTAGTACATCACTTAACAAACTTCTCTCCAATGATGGAGAGGGATTAGGTGCAAAAGAACATGAAACATGGTCTAAATCTTCACAAAAATAAGAGCAAAACTCATTTAAGGTTCTAGAAGTATGGTAAAAAGGATAATCAATGCATTTTGGTGAGCTAGAGCCACTATGTTTTAGAACTTCACATACATCATTCAAGTTAAAAGAGGATGCATTTGAAAGGCTAAAATCAATTATCAATTTATCAAACTCATCCAAATCAAGCAAGTCATAAAAAAGAAGTAAAAATTAGTGAAGCTTTCTCACTAGTGGACTATTTTGAGTCTAGAAATGCATGTGGTATTTAATCAATGTCTTTCTCATTAATGGCATGGAATCAGAGGTAGCATTCTCATTAGAGTCTAGAATATCATTCTCCTTTAAATTAGAGAGCAAAGAAATCATTTCCATGCAATTTGCACACATAAAATCATTACTACAAGCATAAGAATGTAAAGCAAGTTTAGACCAACTTAATGCATCAGTGTATGTGATATATGATCATGAGAAGACCATAATGAAAGTGAAAACTCATCCTTTGAATGCTCAAGAGAATTCTTCATTCTTTCATCTAAATTTACCATTTCAATGCAACTATCACAAGATTCATTATTCATGTAAGCACAAGAAAGTATGGTATTCAAATCAATGTCAAATGCATATTCTTCATCATCCTTATGTGAACAAGCAATGGAATCAAGATCAAGTGAAGAAGGGTCTTTAATTATACTAATAATACTCAACTCATGATGAACATAATATTTTTCAATTGATTCAAAAATATCAAACTCAATTTTCTTATCAAGGAACTCTATAGTCATCTTACCTTCTTTCATGTTGAGAATGGTGTTGCTTGTTCTTATAAAAGGTCTTCCTAAAATGAGTGCTCTCTCTCCTCCTTATTGTATATCCAAGACATAGAAATCAACTGGGAAGATAGGGCCTTTTACTTTCACTATAATGTCTTGAAGCAACCCTTTAGGCCCTCTTATACTTCTATTAGCTAGTTGTAAGATTATATGTGATTCTTGAAGATTCTCTAGATTGAGAGATGAGAAAATATGAGAAGGCATCACATCTATTGCTACACCTAAGTCAATCAAGGTATAAAGTGCCTTAATTAATCAGGACTTTACCATTCTCAAACACATAATTATCAAACAATAATCATACAATATTAAAGGAATAGTCTTTTAATTATTTTTAAAATGCAAGATCCTGACTTTGTCAAAAACATGTTTAAATAAGAGGGCTAACGGAAGCATAAACATGATCTTAACTTAAAAAGGCAAAACTATTTTCTAGGAAACATGCCATGCATTATGGCTTGTACTATCATGCATTGTGACATGTGGTATGGAGCGACGAGCTCTATTTCTATTTGTGTCATGCACCACAGTGTGGCACACAATGTGTCACGGCGTACTATCATATGACAATTCATAGGATGAACTTCCGTTGCACGCTATTTCTATATCTGATGTCTAATTGAAGTGATTTAAGTACCCACACGAAGCTTATAATATATTCTATCTAATGAGATAAGTTTAAAAATGATCTAATGATTTGATCTAAAATTAGACACTCGGGGTGCAAAAAGATACTTTTTCTTTCAAAACTTGCACTCAAAGTATTCAATTATCATTCCTTATCCTATTAAACTATTTTGGGCCTTGAACTAAGTTCAAAAGGACTGTATACACTTAATTAACACAATATATCATATATATCATATCAAATACTCATTTTAACCTTTCAATGCCACATTACATACTTGTGGACTTATATGAGGCACAACACATATAACTACATACATATATATATACATATATATGTATATACTAGTTCCACTTTAATCATTTGAATTCCTCATATAGGGCTAAGCCTCACTATATGGTCAAGAATAATAAATATATTTGAATCTTCCAAATGGGGCCAATCCTTACCATTTGGGTCAAGTATAATATCCTGAATTTCAATCCAAGAAAACTAGTTGCTAATCAGGGGTAGATTAATAATTAGTGGATTGATTATAGATTGAATGTTGGATTAATATATGGTGTTGGTTGTTGTTATGTTTATAGAATTGAAGGATAGAATGGCAACTTGGGATGAAACGTGAGACCATAAGTGAGATTAACCTCATTGTGCCATGCGTCGCAGTGGGAGTTCTATGTGTCGTGGCGCATTACACGGATTTCACTTAAAACTCATGTGATTAGCTCATGAAATTAAAAGAGGGAGTGAAGGAAAATGCATCTGGAGAGGAGAGGAAGTTCATCTTTACTAGGGCAAGCATTATCTGGCTATTGGGAGTTTGCTTTAACTGGTGACTTATCAGGTAAGTATCATATAGCCCTGAGCTTCATTTCTACCCTATTTTCATTGAGTTTGATTAATAGAGAAATCAAATCAGGAAGTTTTAAGGTGTTGGAATCTAAAAGAGAGGTTTAAAAAGGGCTATTGAATTTAAAACTAAGTTTTTGTGACTAGTCTAAAGTTAAATAGTTAAACTTTAAGAGTTTAAGCTCAAAATTGTCTAAATAATTAGGTTGAAATTGAGAAATTGGTTGATTAAATGAGTTAGGAGATTGTTATAGTCATTTGAAAAGCCTATAGGGCAAATGACTATAGATAATAGACTTTATAGATCTAAAAGGTGATGATTGAACTATTTATGTGTTAAGGGATTCAGTTTAACCAAATCAATGCCTATGTTGAGTATTAAAAATTGATTAAGGGACAGTATATTATGTAGATTAAGAATTTAAGAAGTTGCTTAGGAGAATCTATACTTTAAGAGTCCATTGTGACTGGTAACCCTTGATTATAAGGGTAAAAGGTAACTAGAGTAACCCTTTTACTTATTCGTTTGTGAAATTATTTACAAGTATTTTGTATAACTTTGTGCATTGTGTTATGAACTGATAAAGTAGCAATATTATAAAAGGAATATGCATGCGGGGGTATGAGTAATACATGGGATGTATGAGATAAGACATATGCATAGATATATGCATTGCATCTGTGAGTATACCCTAAACTAGGGTTAGGTGTTGCAGCCCTACTCTACATAAGTTTAGGAAGTCCTGAAGGTCTCAAGCATAGAGCTTGACTTTACCAGGAAGGACTTAAGAGATCCTAAAGGTCTCAAGCCTAGAGCTTGACTCTGCCACGATGGACTTAGGATGATGATCCACAAGTGTACCCTAGACTAGGGTAAGGGGTTATGGTCCTACTCTGTGCAAGGCTAGGAAGTCCTGATAGTCTTATGTGTAGAGCTTGACTTTTCCCAAAAGGACTTAGGGGACTACCCATATACGAAGAGGATACCTGGTTTGAGACAGAGGTATGGTGGGCCCTGTTTCATGTAAGATTAAAAATCCTGGTTCGAGCATAGAGCTTGCTCTATTAGGAAGAACTGAGAGTGCATGAGCATGAGAATGATGGATGATGTGTTTAAATTCATGTATATGTATATTATATTTTTTTATTAGAAAACATGCTACTTTATCTCTTATTTATAATTTTACTTACTAACTGGCATTTGGGTTATATTCAAGTTACTGAGATATATATCTCACTCTGTTACCTTTTTACATAGGTGAAGAGAGTACAAGAAGGTCAGGAAAGGAAGCAAGAAGAGAGTAACCTCGATTGGAAGTGGTATGACTACCATTGAGTAAATGAATGTATAATATGTTGTTAGAGTTAAGTTGCCAATTAGGATGCATAAGTGTATGTGAAATGAATATGTGAATGTGTATATGTTATGTGGTTAAAAACTTGCTTGTATATATATGATTTTGCATCTCGCCAAGGGTACCATAGTAGTAGGTACATGGGTAGGCTTAGCTGCCATTCAAGCAAGTGTATGTTATTATGTAATTTGTTATACTTGTTTATATGTGAATTGTTATGTGAAATTGTGTATATGCAAGAACTTGACACAAATAGTGAGGCTAGGCCCTATTTGAAGGAGTTAAGTGTATTTATGATTCCTAATTATATAGTGAGGCATAGCCTTATATGTAAGAGTCGGATGACTGAAAGTGGAACAAGTTTATACATATATGTGTTGAATATGTTTGTACCTTATATAAGTCCACAATTTTGTAATGTGACATTGAGAGGTCAAATTAAGTATTTGATGTGATATTTGTATTGTGAGGAGTCAGTCAGTTGTATTTAGTCCTTTTAGATTTAGTTTAAGGCCTAAAGTGGTCTAATGGGACAAGGAATGAGAATTGAACACTGATGGTGGAAGTTTTGTAAGAAAAGTAGCTTTTTGCACTCAGGTGTTTAGTTTTAGATCAGATTATTAGATCACGTTTAAACTTATCTCATTAGATAGAATATGTTATAAGCTTTGTACGGAAACTTGAATCACTCCAATCAGACGTCAAATGTGAAAATGGCACACAGTAGAATTTCACCCTACTAATTGTCATATGACAGCAAAATTTGTTGTCATATGCACCGCGACGCATTGTGTGTCACGTCACGGCGCATGGCATAGAAAAGAACAGAGCTTGTGGCTGTGTACCAGTTATGGCTCATGGCACTTTTTTAAAGAGAGATGTTATGTTTCATTGAGTCATTGAATTGTGCTTACGCTTCTGTTAGTCCTCTTATTTGAACATGTTTTTGACAAAGTCAAGATCTCACATTTTGAAAATAAATTGAGGACTATTACTTTGATATTGTATATATAATTGTATTGTGATGTGTGATAAAGATGGTAAAGTCTGGATGAGGTTATGGACTTTACGTCAAGTTTTCACACATATACATAATTTCACATAACAAAATCACATTCAATTCAAGTGGAACAAGTTATACAATAACATATACTTTTTTGATTGGCATCTAGGGCTACCCACGTACCCACTGCTATAGTATTCTTGATGAGATGCAGCATCATATATACAAGTAAGTTTTCAACCACAAATTGTATACACATTCACATTTTTATATTCACATACACTTATGCATCTTGGTTGGCAACTCAAACTCTAACAACGTATTATATATTCATTTTACAATGGTAGTCAAACCACTATCAAGCGAAGCTACTCTTTTCTTGCTTCCTTTCTTGACCTTCTCATGCTCTCTTCACCTGTGTACAAAGGTAATGGAGTGAGACATATGTCTTAGTAACTTGAATATAACCCAAATATTGGTTAGTAAGTAAAATAAAAAACAAGAGATAAAGTAGCATACATTTTAATAAAGACAGTATAATATGCATATACATGAATTCATACCCATCATCTATCATGCTTATGCTCATGCACTTCCGATTCTCCCTAATAGAGTAAGCTCTATGCTAGAACCAAGACTTTTTGTTTTACATGAAACAGGGCCCATCATACCTCTATCTCAGACTAGGTATCCTTTTTGTATATAGGTGGTCACCTAAGTCCTTCCTAATAGAGTCAAGCTTTATGCTCAAGACCATCAGGACTTCCTAGCCTTGCACAGAGTAGGACCATGACCCCCTACTTTAGTGTAGGGTATACTCGTGGATCATTATCCTAGGTCCGTCATGATGAAGACAAGCTCTACACTCGAGACCTTTAGGGTCTCCTAAGTCCTTCCTAAAAGAGTCAAGCTCTATGTTCAAGATTTTTAGGACTTCTTAGCCTTGCACAGAGTAGGGCCGCGACCCCTTACCCTTGTTTAGGGTATACTTGTGGATGTAATTCATATGCCAATGCACATATCTTTTCACATTCATTTCATACATAACTCATATACTCGCATGCATATTCCTTTCACAATATTACTACTCTATCAGTTCATAAATCACAATGCATATAGTTATATAACATACTTGTAAATAATTTCACAAATAAACAAGTAAAAGGGTTACTTCAGTTACCTTTTTATCCTTTTTACCAAGGGTACCTATCACATCAAGCTCTCAAGGGTGTGGATTCTCATGAGCAATGTCACAAATGCTCAATCTACATAATACAATGTCACTCAGTCAATTCTTAATACTTAACATAGGCACTAATTTAGCTAAGACATATTTCTCAATATACAAAACAACTCAATTATAGTTCTTTGAGTTCATATAATCTTTACGCTATAGTCATTACTCTGATAAGCTATTCAAGTGACCATAACACCCTCATACATCCTTTATTTATCAAATTCTCCATTTTTAACCTAACAATATGGGTTAACTATGCCCATATACTAAAGGTTCAACCATTTAACTCTCGATTAGTTGCAAAACCTTAGTTTTGCATTCAAAAATCCTTTTTAAACCTTTCTTTCATATTATAATTCCTTAAAACTTCTTGATACAATTTCTCTACTACTCAAGTTTAGAGAAAATAGGATAGAAATATAGGATAGGGATGTACGATCTTTACTCGATAAGTCACTAGCTGAAGCAAACTCCCGATAGCCGGATAATACAAGCCCTAGCAAAATAAAGCTTCGTCTCCTCTCTAAACATGTTTTCCCCACTTATCTCTTTTGATTTTATGAGTTGATCACATTTATTTTAAGTAATTTTTGTGTAATGCCCTGCAACTCTTCCAGCACTCACCTCAACACGTGGCACAGTAAGTTTAATCTCACTTATGTTCTTGTGTTCTATCCTAAATTGCTATTCTACCCTTAAATCCTATTAACGTAATAGCCAACCAACATAAAATATTAACTCAGCGTCTAAACCATAATTAATCTACTAATTATTAATTTATCCTTGATTAGAAACTAGTTCTTTAGATTTAAATTTAGGATGTTACATAAGGCATTTGGGACCATAACATTTCCAATTTGACAAGGAATAGTGCAAGCTCTTGGATCTTTGCACTTTATAGGAACTTGAGGTTTAAAGATGGAACTTACATTGGGACTCATTTGAATTGTTGCTAATGGTTTGAAACCCCTCTTTGTTGTACATAACTCCTTTAGAAACTTGGCACATTTAGGCATACTTTTGATCATGTCAAGCAAGGGAACAGTCACCTCAACCTTCTTAAGTATCTCAATTAAATCTTGCTTTTCCTCCTCTTGATTCTTGAAAAATCTAGCCAATGCCTTTAGGAATGGCATATCCTTAGGAATTGGATCTCACACTTTATATTCTATTAGCTTCCCTCTTCTCCCAAGTATTTCCTTCTCTTTTGGAGCTTCATCTCCCTTTAAATGCTCCAGATCACTCTCTTGGCCCTCTTTGATCTTAAACTGTCCAGATTTGGAGTTTGATGTTCCCTTACCATTTGAGCTACTATTTGAATGATGTAAAGCATGAGAATCATCCTTGGGACATAAAGGAACATGTTGGGCCTCCTTTGGTGTCAATTTTGGATGCGAAACACCTTCAAAACACAAAGAATTCCCAATGCTATAAAACTGTCCAGATTTGATTTCTTGACTTTGCTTTTGATTCAAACTAATCTATTGAGGTCTAAGGGTGTTTTCCTCATGATTTGGGACTTGTATGCTTTCATTAAGACCCTTAGAATAATTTTCAACCAAAGGAAAAGTGGAGAAATGAGATGAAGAACTATTATTACCATCAAAGATTAAATATGACCAAGAGCTACTTGATGCTTCAAGCTTCCTTCCACTTCTTAATTCAATAGCACTAATGTTCATGACATTCTTTCCTTGATTTTTATCTTGAGAGATTCTACTTGCCATTTGGTTAATATTAATCTTAGTTGACTCTTATCCAGTTTCTGATTTATCTAACTTCTTAATCAAAGCTTCAAATTGGTAGTTCACTTTACCAAATTTGAAATCAACATTTAAGACATGAATGTCCTAAAACCTCTCCTAATATCTACTTGATATTAGCAAGGGTTAACTTAATCACCACTCTAAAACATGAAGTAGTATCAAATACTTTGTTTGAAAAGCTTGGGCCCAAGACTTGTTTTGCAAAATCATTAAAAATCATAACACATCATAGCATTACACAACGAAATTGAATCATATGCATCTATATCAATCACTGCATGCATCTAAAAAAACAAGTCAGATTAAGGGCCATACATTGTGGTGGACAACATGCATGGCATATGGCACAAAACCACATGCCTTAATCACCTCTGTGTCACAAGCCTACTTCTGCAGCTGTCATTTGACAATGTAAATGATGAACTTTCAGTGTGCATCATTTTCACATGCAATATCCGATCAGAGTGATTCAAGCGTCCACTTATAGTTTATCTCGTAAGCTAACTAATGAGATAGGTTTGGACTTGATCTAATAGTTTGATCAAAATTTAGACACCCAGGTATAAAAAGTCACTTTTTACAAAAATTTCACACACCCAAACGCTAAAATCGATCCCTTAATCTCATTAGACCTTTCTAGGGCTTGAACCAAGTATAAAAGGACCTATTTCACCTGATTAACCATATAATATCTCAAATATATCCACATATCAAAATTTGGCTATTCAACGGCCAATTTTCACATTTCACAAAATTTCACCACTTAGTATAAATTGACCTACTTGGCCATTTTCACAACAAAATCACCACTTTATATATTTACCACATATTCACAACTACAATCTTAGCCCAATTAATTATTTCACCATAAAATCACACATATGGGCTAAGATTCATGAATTCACTATAATTTTTCACATTTCACCACTAAAATATGCATGCAAATCCCTATAGAAACTTATATATACAATAATCACTGTGTTTTCATACATTACACAATCTTAGAGATTTTCCATGATAACAGCACCATTATGCTAGTCCAAACTCTTTTCCCTTGCTTAGCTCATTGCTCTGTCCTGTAAAAATGTAACCACGGGGGTGAGATAATAATCTCAGTAATAAAATAACTCACTACTGTCAACTATCACATGCAACTATATGAAAGTATAGCAAATATATAGTTAAGCATAACATATATCATATATTCACTTCAATTTCATTTATATAAATCATTTCACCTCTTTGACCATTTATTCACCATTTTTCACCACTTTTCTAACACAAAGTATGCTCACTACTGACCGAACTTTCAAATCATCTCGACTTTAAACCATAGGCTTGCCTTAGACTAATTACACTTTCATTGGCCCTGAGCTTACCTTTAGTGGTAGGATCACCCAACTCAAAAGTGTTCTATCGCACTTCCGAACTATAATTTCCCTCAATACACACAATGGGGTGTTGTTGACTCCAACATTACATCACATCACATCAATACTAAGGAGTTCGAATCTCCAACAACACACCACAATAGGTACTAAGAAGATAATCTTCAATATCACACTTCAAAAGGCACTAAGGAGATACAATTTTTTAACATCACACCCCATCAAGCACTAAGAAGAATAATGTCATCTTTCACTATACTCCATATAGGTAAACTCTCACCTTTATGATCATACTTTTTGAACCAATCATAGGTTCCCAATCACTACTTTCCACACACGAACACACACATAATTGCACAATTTCACATATTTATTCAATAAAAGTTCATTTTTCATTCAATAACCATGCAATGCTACAATACATGCTCAATTTAAAATAGTTTCATGCAATAGATAGCATACTCATACACAGTTATAACAAATAATCAAACAAAGGAAGTTATTCGGTTACCTCAACCCTTATGTTACTAGAAAAGTGACCCATAGATTTTAGTTACCATAAAAGCTCTATACAAGCTTCTCTCCACAACACACTCATGAAATATGTCAATCTACACAAAATTGACATTATTAGTGAATTAGTTCAATTGACTAAAAACACTTAATTGCTACTTAATGGTACAATTAGTAAATCTTTCATTTCTACTTATCCATTTTAGGTTAATTAATACCTGATTATCACTTTATATCACTTCAAATGATCTCATTTTGGCTAAACACGATTTCCACCTTAATGTTCTTAGTTTTGGGCCAAATTGAGCCAACAGGTTCAAAGTTCTATCATTCAGCTCTAAACCAATTATGAAGCTTTAATTTAACTCTCAAGAACCTTTTTATTACTATTGAGTAAGAAGTAAACCCCTTAAATTTTCTCGATTCAATTTCTCTATAACTCATACTAACAGAAATTATGGTAGAATGGAAGGTAAGGATTATACGAAGCTTACCCAATAAGTTACTGATCAAAAGTGCCTTCCTATGCTCTGAAAACCTTTGCCTTAGCCAACCTTAGCTTCCTCTCTTCTCCTTCTTGTGTGTTTCTAATTTTTCCTTTTGAAATTCACCCTAATTTCACAATTAAGGGGTCACTTTCTAGTCCATGTGCCTCGTTGCATGTAGCTTGTACCACGGTGCATGGCACAGTAATAGAAATCCTCACCACACGCAAATACTTCAACTTGAAATGCAATCCTTCCACTTATATCTGCCTATTCAATATCTAAAGGACATAAATCATCAACTAATCATTTAAATATCTAATCCTTTACTAATTACCACTTTACCCCTGATTAATAACTAATCACAGGATTAAAAAATTTAGGATGTTACATGTCCAGCCTTCAATTCAATTATGTCATATTGTTATTCATCTTTTCCAAAAGTGAGAAAAGCTTGTTATTATTGGAAGAGTCTTGGATAGGAACTATTTGATTGTTCCTTGAAGTAGTAACCTCTTGATTAGATCTATAAGTCAAATTAGGGTTATTTCTCTAACTAGAGTTATATGCATTCCCATATGGCTCAAATTGACCACTTCCTCCTTATTGTGGGTGATTATATGGCTTTTGTTGTTGATAATAGCAGCAACATCTTCCCTCTTATAGGCATGTGTGCCATTTGAGATAATGTGCATGGTCGAGTGGCAAATGGCACAACTTAGAGCTACCAATGCTCTTGATATAAAATCCATTTGAGGTTGTTTAGAGGTTGTAAGAGACATCTTGAGGAAGTTTAATTGAGAGTAGATATCATCTAGTTAAGCATTAGGAATTGAAGCTTGATAGATTCCATTCACACCTCTTGTGTTCTCCTTTGTGTTGTACTATTGATTATTATTGGCCATCTTCTCTATAACATCCTAAAAATTTTAATCTCGTGATTAGTGATTAATCAAGGGTAAAGTGGTAATTAGTATGGGATTAGAGATTTGGATGATTATTTAATGATTTGTCTGATTAGGATGTTGTATGAACAGATACGGGTGAAAGGAGTACATTTTGGGTCGAAGAAATTGCACATGGTGAAAATAAATCTCACTGCGCCATATGTCGTAGCTTGTGATGCATGTGCCGTAATACATGGACCAAAAAATGCCTTCACAAGTCGTGAAATTTTAGAAATTTTAGAAAAGTGAAATTTAGAAACACATGAGAGGAGGAGAGAAGAAGAGTTGAGAAGCTAGAGAAAGCTATTTCAAGTCATTAGAAGGTGCTTCTAATTGACAACTTATCAGGTAAGTTATGTATAACTCTTGCCTTCCATTCTACACAAATTTCTCTGAAAATAAGTTACAGGAAAATTGAATCTGTGGAATTCAAGAGGTTTGATTTTTGCCCAATAGTAATAAAAAAATTCTCAAAAGTTAAATTAAGACTTTGTGATTAACTCGTAGGCTCAATTTGGCCTTTAGAGAGAGAGATTTAGGGCAGAAATCTGATTTGAGTGAAATAAGACTAGTTAAGGTGATGTAAGGTAGTAATCAAGTAGTAATAGATTTAGAATGAATAAATGAAAAAAAATTTACGGTTGAATATAGCCCTAAGTAGTAAATATGATTTTTTGGTCAAAATGGACTAAATGACTAAAATGTGTCAAATGTGTCCAGATTGGCATATTGGATGTGTGAGTAGAGAAAGGATACTTGAGATAAGTTATTATGGTAGTTGAAATTCATGGGTAACCTTTCTAATGATAGAAGGGTTAAGGTAAATAAATAACTTTTTTTATTTGACTATTTACTATAACTGTGTGTGAGTATACTATGTAATGCGTGAAATGGTTTTGAACTGAGTATGTTTTATAGCATTATGTAAATGTTGCATGAAATAGCTTTTGATGGAATAAAAGCATTGAAATGGGTGATTTCTAGTGTTATGTTAATACATATATGTTATGTATGGAAATGTGTAAAATGATAATGAGGAACCTTAAATGGTTTAGAAAGTATGATCTTAGAGGTAGGAGTTCACCCGAGTGAAGAGGTGGTGATAAGACCATATGGCAGATTCTCCTTAGCGCCCAACGAGGTGCGGTGTTGGAGATAACCTCCTTAGTGCCTTATAAGGCACAGTGTTGGAGATCTTTTTAGTGTCTATTGAGGTATGGTGTTGGACATTTGAAACTTCTTAGTATCTATGTGATACGATATTGGAGTCAACAACACTCCTTTGTATGTATTGGGGGGAAACCATAGTCCGATAATGAGATAGAACATCTTTGGTCGGGTGATTCTACTACTCCAAGTGATCTCAAGGCCAATGAAAGTGTACATTGGTCTAAGGTGAGCTTATGATTTCATGTTAGAGTGATTTGGAGGTTTGGTCGGTAGTGATCATGCTATTGAATACTATGAGTAGAAAAGTGGTAAAAAGTGGAGTAAAGAGGTTAAATATGAAATGTGGATGTAATTTAAGTTAATCCTATGATACATGTTATTTTAATGAGATTTAAATGGTATATTATGCTTTACTTCCATATTGTCACATGTGATAATAATTAGAAGCGAGTTATTCTATTACTGAGATTTTTATCTCACCCTTGTAATTACATGTTTATAGGATCGAGTAATGATCAGGGTAGGGGAAGAGAGTTTGGGCCTGCTTGAGTTGTTGAAAGCCATGTAAACTTGGAGTTTGTGTAATGAACCATGGATTGGGGTATTTAAAAGGTTAAAATGCGAGGAAAAGGTTGGAAGAGGGCTTTTGGATGCAAAACTTAGACTTTGCTTGAATGGTTAAGTTAAATGAAGTAGAATAGGGTGCTTTGGTCGCTTTGATGGCTTAAGTGTGTGTGATTTGGTGAATGGGTTGAGTAGACCCAAAGAATGTCATTAAGATTGTTATAAATGCCTAGAGTAGTTTAAACAACTTAAGTTTTGCATTAAGCTTAGAAACTGACTAGGGATTCCTAATTGTATAGGTTGAGCACTTGAGAAATCATTTGTGGGAGTTTATACTCTCGAGGTGAAATAGTGCAAATGGTAACCCTCGATAATAAGGTAAAAAGTAATTAGAGTAACCTTTTTACTTATTAGCCTATAAAATAATTTACAAGTATTTTATATTAACTACATGCATTATGTTTAATAAAAAGTTAGAGTAGCAAAGTTGCAAAAAGTGATGCATGTGTGTGTGAGTAAAGATGCTTGAAATGTGTGTGGTGACACATGTGCATTTGCATCTATGAGTGTACCCTAGACTAGGGTGGGGGTCGGGTTCCTATTCTATATAAGGCTAGGAAGCCCTAAAGGTCTAAAGCATTGATTATAATCCACTAGTGAGGACTCAAGAATGTATCCACGAGTGTAAGCTAGACTAGGGGAGGGGGTTGTGGCCTTACTCTAAATAAGGCTAAGAAGTTCTAGTGGTTTGAGCATTGATTTTTATCTACTAGTAGGGACACAAGAGAGCTTACTACCCATCTATGATACCTTAGCCTGAGGCAATAGTTGGTGGGCCTGATTTCATGTAAGGTTAGGAAGTCATAGTTCGGGCGTTGAGCATGCTCTGCTAGTAAGAGCCGGGAGTGCATAAGCATAGTGGATGATTGAGCATGGCATCATGTATGTGTGTGTGTACTTATCCATGCTGCTTTTATTGAGATTAATGTTACTCTATCTCTTACATTTA